AACTGGTGGAGCCATTGGCAAGGGGGCATGGGACGTTGCGCGCTCCTGGTGCCACATTGTTACCCTTGCTGGATGCGGGAGGAATCAACCCGCATTTTCAGGGTGAGTCTAAGACTTGGAATACGCTGGTGCTTGCCCACCATTATAATTGGCATTGCTGGAGATTGGAGGACGCGGTACCTGATCCGGGCCCAGAGGATGGGGAGGGGGTTCCTACACTGTGTGGAGCTTCTGCACCGGCGTGGATGGCCTCGGATGGAACCTCCCGACATGAAGGAGGCTGTGGATGCTATTGCAGGGCTTGTCACGATAGAGAAGTGTTCCAGGCTGATCCGGATGGTGATTCGTCCCAAGGATGTGGACTGTTGGGGTTCCTAGAGGTACTGGAGCATTGTCTGATACATCATGACGATACGCTCCCTGTTCCGGTCATTGCCATTGACTCGCAGTATATCTACGGGGTTCTTGCCGGTGCAGCCTTTCCCACCGAAAGTTTGGGTGATTGGCAAGACATCTGGAGGATGTTGACTGGATTTGTACGCCTCCTGTTGGTCAGGCACACTGAGTCCCACCGTCCGGATACTGATCCAGTACATCAGGTCATTGACGGGCTTCTGGAAGATCCATTCCGGACTGACGTGGTCTTGCCTGTCACGTCTACCTCCGATCCTGGGGTAGATCCGTTTCTTGCGTGGCTTCGCGAGAGTTGGGGTCACCTGGGACCACGAGTTTGCCACCAGCGTTGGTCCCAAACCATTAGCCAGCTTCATGCGGGGCTCGGCGTGATTGGGAAGGGGTGGCTCAGGCTTGTGAAATCTGTGCTAGAGAGAAGTGTCATGAAACCGGGCGTCAAATCGGAGCTTTCATCTCTTCGCAGTTTCGGGCGGGAGGAGTTTGGCGGTTGGATCTGCTGGGACCCCTCCCGGGGTCTAGACCCCCAAACAAAGGACTGGTTGTTGTGGACTTGGGAGCAGGACAGTTGCAGGTCGTTCCCTTGCGGAAGAGCAACGCCACTGCGGTGATTGCGGACTTGACTGCTGTGTTTGCCACCTGGCGGCCACCTCACGGGATTCGGTCTGGCGGGGGACCCCCGTTCGACTCCGATGCTCTGGACAGATTTGCTCGTCTTCACAGCGTGGTATGGCATCTTAATCTGCCGTGCCACCCGCGGTCCGGCGGCGTTGTGGAGGGACGCGTGGGCCTGTATAGGGAGCGGCTTCGTCTCAGGGGAAGAGGAACGTTTAAAAACTGGACCAGGTTAAATCGTGATGTCCTTATCTCGCTGAACACGTCTAGGCCTTTATGGGATGAGGCCGGTGTCCGGAGGCCTCCACCTTGGAGGCTCAGGTTCCAGCCGGAGGAGTTGGTGTGGATCTTGATGCCTCACCCTCATCGGTCTCACCCGCGAGTTCACGGGGGAGCGGTCCAACGGTCAGGACGGTATCCTGATGCCTATTCTGTCCAACTGGGGGAGAAACCCGATCGTCCTCCTATCGTAGTTCGTCGCGGCTGGATGGCTCGCCGTTCTGGCGTTCACCCAGTGTCCTTACCATAAATCCAATTGTGATTCTCTCTTGTTTTGTTTTGTTGTTGTTTTCTTTTCCTACAGGTTTAGCCCCAACAGAAGCGATAACCCACAACGGCCTGATTACCAGATTGCAGTTCATTCGAACCCATAGAGTGATGATGATAAAGGAGACACTGAGACGAAGGACGTCTGTTTGCTCAGGACTTGCTGTGACATTGTTTTCTCTCATTTTATTAGGTGTTTTATTGACATTGTCTGTTATAGGAGAGGACAGACCAACTACTAGACGAGGAAGGTCCCAAGCGGATGTTCTCCAGTCGGATGGTGATCAGCGGTTGTTGTTGTATGTTTAAAGTTATTGTGTTTTGTGGTTTGTTGAGAAGACCGGTCTGTTAAGTTGTGTTATATAGTGGTTGTTGAGGCTTTGCCAGGTCAGTGCATCCCGAAGCAGGAAAGCCTTGGGATGTGCTCATGTGTCTGAAATTCCAGTTGTGCCGTCGGCAAGGGGGCATGTCACAACCCAGTGATTTTTTGTGCCTCGGCACTATGGAATTTCCTGGCCACATGAGAGCTCCTTTGCACGGCAGAGTGTTCTGCTGCAATTAAGAGCCTGCGTGCAGGAGAGTTCCCGCCAATTTGCAGTTTCCTTTGCAGGATGCATTTCTTCTTTGCAGCACAGAAGTGCACGGTGCAGAGAGTTCCCGCTATTCGGATGCGAATTTGTGCCCCGCTATTGGCCAGTGCTAAATTATTCACACGTGGCGGCTAGTAATTGGCCCGCTGGCCGTTTAAGGTTCCGCGCGACTTCCGCCCAAGTCGAAGAGCTTTGAGCACGCTGCAGAGTGCCTCTGAAGTTATCTGACTTGCGGCTGCTGATCGATAGACTGATCACCTATTGATCTTTCTTCCCGTCACCGAGCGCAACCCCGACGTACCCCTTTCCCCGCCGGCTTCGAATTGCGGACGGATTAACTGGCTTGGGCCCCGCCAGCTGGAACAACTCGTGTGGTTGTTCAGACGACCGGACCACCTGCGTCGTGATTGCAAGCGGCGTGAGTAAAGTTTTTTGCAACCAATAAGTTGTGTCTGCCTCTCCATTCACCAGCCCGCCCTGACGTACGAGCGTAACTCGAGTCGGCCCTGGCCGTCCGAGACAAAGAGATGAACGGAGCACAGTCAGAAAATGTCTGTTTTTTAGAGTAGTAAATATTATGTGAAGATTTGGTGGCTAGATGTTATCTGTCTAAGCCTACGGGTACGTTTTTTGTGCAGCGAATCCATTCATTGTATAGCGTAGTATGAATTTGGGTGTCATATTCCACATGTTTAAGGCTAATGTTCTGGCGTCCCAGGGGAGTGTAATGGATAGATCCTGTAATTCATTGAAATTATTTTTAAAGTAGCCATGGAACTGTTTGGGATTTGTTAATGTTGGAAAGTCCTTCACTCTAAACTATTAACCATGTTATTTGTCTTATTTGTATTGGAAAACACTCATATAATCAGTTCTGATGACTCAAATTATATAATGTAACTTTTTGTGCAATTTACTGGTTGATTTAAAAACATTCTATCCTGCTTAATATTGTGTTAATAGGTTCACAGAATGCAGTAAGGAAGGTAGCCTTGCCTGGAGCATAGGACAGTAGATGGTGATACTGCCTATTGCCAGGTTCTGTTCCTGGCTATGGAATGTACCTTGAAACCTTAGGCCTTGTGTAGACAAAACAAGAGGCATGTGTGCATGACATTTTAAAACGATATAAATGCTTTTGCACTGCTTTAATAGTGTTGGCATTTGAACGCCTCGGCAGCATGTTGCACATTAGTTCCAGCTGCTGTGGGAAATTCAGCGGCGTAATGAGCCTTAAATGACTTGGGGCGCAGCAAACTGTTTAGTTTTAGTTTGCTGCCCCTACAGCCACAGAGCGAAGTACTGGGCTCCAGCTCCACAGCTCTGCAGGAAGCCCTGCAGGCAGCCTGACAGCAGCCTGGGAAAGCAGGCTCTGCCCAAGAAAAGCAGTGAACCTGATCTTTTTTTCCCCTCCCTGGAGCCTGCCTGCCTGAGCTGCATGGGGGCCTGGTGCTTCCCTCCACAGCTGCCATGCCCCCTGAGACCGCCCAAGCTGGGTGCCTCGAGGCGGGTGTTGCCTGTGGGGGAGTGCAGCTGCTGCAGAGGGAAACACCAGCCTCCTCCCACCCACCCCCCAGCCCAGGGACCGCTCCGCCCGCTGGCAGCTCATCCTCCCCTCCCTGCCGGAGAGGCAGGTAAGTCAGTGGGGTGTGTGCATGACACAGGGGTTTAATCAGCCCTAAATTGAAGCGGTGTTTTTTAAAACCCACCACTTCGATGCAGGGCCCCTGTTTCGTCTACATATGCCCTTAATCAAATCCTTTCTCCTTTTTGTGCCATAAGCTCTTTCCTGAAATGGGCATTTCTCTTTAAAACACTTTGAGATCTACAAATGAACCATACCACTGAGTATAAGAGCATGCAAGTGTGTTGCTATAAAGTTTCAAATCTGAAAACATGTTTTTTCTTGTGAAATAAAGGTTATTTTGGCTTTGAAATTATCAGTTTTGGCATTTTCTATTATGAACTCAAGCCTCTTGGTTTGGTTTTGTTTTTTTAATGCATGACCCAAGCCATGTCCTTTTTATGCCAGTCACCAAGACAAACTACTAGCCTCACATGCATGCATTCTGTAATTATGATTTACAAGCAGGTCATTTTAAGCCAGTTTCAGAGCTTCCTCCTAAAAGAGGAGGGTTTTTTTCTGTAAATTTCATCCCAGGATAGAAAAAGGCTGGTTTTGTGGCTGAGGCATGCTCTCAGCCTCTGTTCCTGACCTACAAAGTGAGGAAACCAGTAGTTATTTTTCTCAGGTATTGAGAGGTTAAATTTATTAATTATTTTTACAGAATTCAGATACTGTAGTAATAAGAGCAAACAGCAGATAAATACTTCAGAGTCTTTATGTAGAGAGTCAGCATAGGTCGCTGCTCCATACCATGTCATTCCTGAGAAATTCAAGAGGTAGTATCGTTTGAATTCTTATTGATCATGATTATGGCTTAGGTACATAACATTTCCTTTACAAAGAGTGTAATTTTTTAAAAATTTTGTTCTGTTCTGTTTTTAATGCTCAAAGGTCTCAGTTGGAGTCAAATCTCCTTTGTATATGGTACTTGCACACGTGCGCACATGCGCGCGCACGTGCACACACACACACACACACAGAGGACTCATAGAATTCACATTAAGGCATGAAGAAACGCTGGAAGACAATTGAAGGATGAAAGTAGAACACACAGACAGACAACATGGAAATATAGCCTTCAGCAAATGTAGTATCCTGATTATTCAATAACTATGATCTTTTCTTACCCTGAGTCATCATTTTAGCATATAGTTGCACAGTCTTAGTTATGGAAGGACTGACTTGATATTTGTCTGTTTTTTTTCCCAAAGGAGATTCTGCTTACTCAGCCACCAACCAAACCAATCCGCAGGAAATTTCGCCCTGAAAATCAGATGTTGGAGAACCAGGAGCTTTCTCCCACTATAAGTGTGACATCTTCCTTGCCTGCTGTCAAGTCCCACCACCCAGTCCAAAAGTAAATAGCACATCTAAAAACCAAACATACCAAGCTGCATCATGAGATATGACTTGGCCTGTGTTTGGGTTTTTTGCCTCTCTCTCTCTCTCCCTCAGCTCTAGATTGCCATTTCAAATGGGGGCCAGGTCAGTTGTTAACTTCTGATGGCTAATTGGTGGTGGCCTCTTCAGAAAGCACTTGGTGATCCCACTTCTGTACCCAGTAAACATGTGGGTCACATCAGAAGAGCTGCCATTTGCCTACTACCACAGGGTGATGGAAACATTTCTTAATCACTTTGGCCTCATCACTGAAATAAGGTGACAGTTCTGTTCACTAAGGAACATTTAAAGTCCAAACACCTGGCGCACACATAGTTTTCCTGGCATTCACAATACTGAGCACTCTCACTGATCACAAATTTGCAGTTGTGGTAGGTAATTAAAAAAACAAAAATGACCCATAGTTTTCTCCACTGCAGCCTCAACCATAATTTAGGAATGCAAAAATTAACTGACCCAACCAGTCAAACTAAGAACCTCTCTGCAATCCAGGCACTATAAGTCACTTTGCTGCATCACCTGTTGCATGTTCTTCATCATGGTGGTATACAAGGATGATGCAGAAGTAGAAAATGTCCTTATATTTGGTTATGTGCAGATTTGTACATAGTCTTCCACGCTATCAAACAGTGGCCACTGAGTGAAAAAAAGTATTCCACCAAGGGATTCTGGGACCATATTAGAAAGGCTGCATTGTAGAAACAGATCTTCAAGCCTAACAGGAGCAGCAGAAGGCTCTGCTCTCAGCCAGAAGGAGATGTTGATTAGAGTATGATTATAATTTAGGGTCTACTCAGTTTGTGATTCTGTGGATTTTGTGGAAACCTCATAATCTAGGATTGTCTGCGAAAGCAATTAAAAAATAAATAAATAAAATGTTGGCTCCCCAGTGGGAGCTAGTGGTCCTCACTGCTGCTACAGTCCAGCCTCGCAGCTCACCTGTGGGGGAAAAGTGCCAGCTAGTGGGGCAGCACAAAAGGTAGTAGACAAGATGGCAGCTGTTTCCTTGTCCCTCCTCCCCCTGCTGGGGCCTCTGGGCCAATCAGTGCTGAGGGGTGTGGCCACTGGAGCACATCCAGGAAATATCCACATAATTTGCTATTTATGCCATGACCAGCCTGCAAAAATTGTTTAGTTTCTCTGTGATTCACACAGACCCCTAATTATTATATATGTTTTATGTCTACACCTATATCCATCCAAAATGGTGGTGCCCAACCTTTTCACCCCATGGTCCAGATGGGTGGTGCCTGGTCCTTCCGTTGCCTGGATCTGGCTTGATGGGCCGTATCTGGCTTGGGGGGGTGGAGGGGTGAGGTGCGCAGTCTGATCTTGGTCCATTTGCTTGGGGCCGGGGTGGGCCAGAGTGGCCCCATTTCAGACATGTGAGCAGGGGGACAAAGCAGCTCATTCCCAATCCCGATCCAGACGTACTAGGCGGGGATGAGGCAGGGTGGCCCCTGGCATAGCAAGGCGGCTCCAATCCGCACACACCCAGGGAGAGGGGTATGGGGCAGAGTGGCCCTGATCTGGATGTGCTGGAGGGAGGAGGGGCTGGGTCGATCAGCCCCAATCTGGATACATGGGAGGTAGGGAAGCTTTCTGGTCCCCTTCCTGATCCAGATGCATCGGAGGGCCTGGAACAGCCCCAATCCAGAGGTGGGGGAGAAGGGGGAAGCAGCTCAGCCCCAATCCAGACCTGCAGGTTGGCCACTTCATGTGGGGAGGGGGGAGCAGCCCAGCTTGATCTGGACATGCAGGGGACAGGTCAGCCTGACTGTTGCATGGGCAATGGCCCGAGTGAGGATGTATCCAGGTGCATGGAGCTTCTACCATTCCCTACTGCTAAGTTTTTTGACTCATGGGGGTCTCCATGGGCCAGATGACATGGCTCCATGCTCTGGATTTGAGCACCCTGGATCCAAAAGGAAAGAATGCAACCTTGTTATCAGTTCTGTCATAAGGTGCCTGCATTCATCATACAGCTGCCATGAGCTCTAACAGGGCTAGAATCAACAAACTACAGATATTGAAGTTGCCAGAAGCGAAGGATCTTATGTGCTTCATTCCAGAAGCCATCCTAGCTTCAGGCCATCCTAGGAGCCATATTGTATCTTCTTATTTTCTGCTTAAGTTGCACAGATTTATGCTGCTTGTAAATACTTTGTTTGTACATGTATTGGAACAAAATAAGGGATGACTCTTAACTGCTCTGGTTTCAGCTCAAGATTAAAGTGCATGATTGGCTGGTTAAAAATGACCCTAGAGAGGGATTTGAATGAGGCATGGCTGTATGTTTGCTATATTATCTATATCTACTTTGGTTAGCCTATAAGGTATAAATCTACCCTGCCTTCTACTTTACTTCAGAAAATGAATGTGGAAGAGAACAGGCCTTTTCCCACCTTCTCACTTGGGTTTGTATTATTATTGATCCCATTCTTGGAAACACTAATTATTGGAATCTGTAGGGGTTCAGTAGAAAATTTCAGGACGTGTTAACCCTATCTTAGTAGATGTTGCAGCTTTCCCAAAATACTTAAATGAGCAAATACAGATATACATGCATTTTTATCTTTGATTTTTTTTTTAACCATAGCATATAAAGAGTGGTTTGAAGAAAAATGCAGTAAAACAAACTGGCAATAAGTGTCAATTTAGTGGAAAATAATAAGGACCAGCTAATTCTGTGATGGAGGTTTTGTTGCAAAGATCACTGCTCTGAGTTCTGTTTAGAGAGAGAACTTTTTTCAACTGTGCCATTTATATGCCTATTTAAATAATGCATCTGTCTTAGATTCCAATGAGCTGATGACACCTCATGTAGAACTTTAAAATTAAAATCTATTTAGAAACAAGTCTGCTTATCTACCCAATGTTTTACATATTTCCCTTTATTATTATTACTTGCAATATTTACATTTAAACTAATCTTTGTTTTCTTAAGCAGCTAGGCTGATCAATAATGTCCATAATTCATCCACCTGAAGTCCTGTTTCTCTTTGAGTCATAATTTAGGGGTGGTGGAAATGAGTGATATGCAAAATGAAAGATTAATTTGTCAAGTAAAGAAAAAGCAGCAGAAGCAGTTACATATGTAAAGGCAAAGGCTATATTTCCATACAGACATCCTAAATAATAATAATGAATAAAAATGCTAAAAAAACCCTATAAATTTGGTTCTACATAGAATTTTCTTAATATTTTCCATTACACATTAATGAGTCTTGCCTGTTAAATGTTTGAAAACAATTATACCAAAGGTAGTGCAATAAATACAGTTTTGTAATGCTGGTTCTTAAAATAATACAATAAAAATAGTAAAAATAAAACAACTGAAATGGCTGAACATGTATTTATTGTTTGGATTAACAAATGAGACTATTTTACTTTTGAATAAACTGCCTGATTCGGTCATCTCTTTTTTATATATTATATTTTCCTTTTAAGTATTTTCCTTTTAAGTATTCCTTTTAAGTATTTTCCTTTCCAGTTTAAGGTTTGTACTTTTTCCTTTTGGGCAGCTTCAGCATTAAAGCCTATGGAAATAAAGAGGTGTCTGTCCTTCTAGGATCAGACACTGTGGAAGTTCTTTTAATTGAAATTTTTATTCATCTCTCTGGCAGACAGTCTTCCAAGCAGAAGAGAGCTATTCAGACTGCCATTCGTAAAAACAAAGAAGCCAATGCCGTGCTAGCCAGGTTGAACAGTGAACTCCAGCAGCAACTGAAGGTGAGGAATACACTGAAAATCACAATGAGATTCACCCTGGCAAAGATCTCTACTTCTTCCTCGTCTGGCAAAGATCTCTACTGCAAGGGTCCCCCACTTGCTCTGCTGCACCACGCAGTTGTCTCTACGCCATGCTATTTGGGCCCCTTGCTGTATCATGCCATGCCACATGGGGTCTCTGGAGGCCCCTAATGCTCCAGCTGCAGGCTCCCTCAGCCCTGTGGACTGCACACTCTCCCTGCCATCAGTGTCAGGAGCAGGCAGTGGAAGCTGGAGAAGGAAGGGGGAGAGTGGAGTCTCCAACAGTAGGAGAGCAGTGGAGAGAGTAGTGGGGAGCGGTGCCTAAACTGGGAGTCTGTGGTCATGAGGTCTAAGAACTCTTTGGGGGTTGGATGCAGCCATGGACCACAAGTTGGGCAGCCCTACTGTACATGTAGGGGTGAGCAATTTTTCTCGGAATGTGTGTCACCTAAGTGCAAAGGGCTATGTTGACTGCAAGGATAATTCTTGTATTTCACATTCTTCTAGATAACTGAATGCTGTCTCCTCCTGCAGGACAGGAACCCATTCTTTCTTTTGATGAAATGTGTTCTTTAGTTGTCTTCAAAGTTCAGTTGTTCAATGCACAGATCACCGGCTAGTAGTGCATACACTTTAATCCTTAGATATTCCTGTTCTGTGCATTTCCACTTTTTATGACTCAGCCCACCCCATTCAACATCCCATGTCACACCACCTTCTTTCCGTCAGGACTAAAGTATGACTGCATAGAGAAGCTTATCAAATCTACCACTTCTGAATTATGTAGCACAGGGGTGCTCAACTCCCAGCCTGTGGGCCACATCCAGCCCCTGATGCCATATATTCTGGCCTGTGGGGCTCTCCACAGGATCATGGGAAGCTGGATTGGACATGCAGGATGGTGCTGGGCCTGATGCTGGCATATGGGCTGGGTGGATGGCCTGGGGTCCTGGAGCCTGGTTCTGGTGTGTGGGGCCAGGTAGAGATGGCACCCAGAGCCTGGTCCTGGTGGTACACAGTAGAGGTGGTACACAGTAGAGCTGTGCAAAATTTCACCAGCTGTTTTGTTTTAATGCTGTTTCGACTCATTTCAAGCTCAAAACAGCAACAAAACAAAATGAGTGCAGTCAAAACCTTTCAAAGTTTTGAAATGTTTCGAGGTTCAAAGCTGAAGCAGGGCTTGCCTGCAGGGAAACAGAAAGTTAGGAAAGGGAGGGGGAGGAGGGGGGAAGGACTGCTCTCATATTGACTGTGACGGTTTGGCTGCCTGAGATGCTGCTGGTGCTACTGTGCTGCTTACTAAGTTACCTGTTGTTATTTAAAGTGGTGGACTAGACTAAGGCTGTAGGGGAGGAGGAGACCTCATTGGAGCACACTGCCATGTTGTGTAGAGGCCCCAGTGCCAGTGAGGGCGCACCTAAACACACACACTCAGTCACACATGTCACGAGTTTTGCTTGTCAGCAGCTTGAGGTGCAGTTTGCTAGAAATCCCTGCAGCTATCTCCTTGAAAGCTGGCAGGCTTCATGGCCTCAGCAGGGGCTACCATACCTGCGGTTTTCACTAGGGCTGTGTGAAGCCTTGATTGGTGATTCGATTTGGAGGAGATTCAGCCCAATTTGGTGGCCTAATCTCTGAATCCGAATCGAGTCAGGGGACCAATTTAAAGGTCCTAATCGATTCAAAGCTCTCCAAATCTTGTCAAAAGATTCAGAGAGCTTTAATAATTTGGGCAGTCCCTGGTGACTGCAGCAGGGAGCTGGTAAGTACTAGGGGCGGGGGAGGGGACCCTGCCAGCCCTGCTGCTCCCAGCCCCATCTGACCCCCACCCGCTCCCCCAGCCTCCCTATGGCTGCCCTGCCTGCCCCAGCGCAATATTTAAAAAAAAAGCCCCAGTGCTCACCAGATGCTGCCAGGTGGGGGGCAATCTCCGTTGGCCCCCACTGCATGGGGGGCTCTGCTATGACCCCTCGACACACCCACTCACTCCCTCAGCCCCCAATGGGTGCCCTGCCTGGCTAGCTCCAGCTCTTTAAGAAAAAACAGAAGCCAAGAAAAGCCCCGGGACTCACCGCTTCTGGTGTGGCCTCGGGGCTTTGGGGGGCTTATGCAGAGCCCCCCATGTGGCGCAGGGCAGTGGGGACTGCCCCCCGCTGGCAGAAGCGGTGAGTCTGGGGGGTTTTCGGGTTTTTTTTCTTAAAGGGCTGGAGCTGGCCCTAGGCGGGGCTCCCGTGGGGGGGCTGGGGGAGTGAGGGGAGGATCGAGGGACTCATGCAGAGCCCCCCATGCAGTGGGGGGGGGGAGCAGGGATCACCTGGGCAACACCCGCTGAGCTGGAGCTTTCTTTTTCCAGGTGCCGAGAGCTGGGGCAGCCATTGCCGGGGTGGGAGAGGGGCAGGGGATGGGCCTGGCTTGGCTGATTTGGAGATTCAGCAGCAGCCGAATCAAATCGGGACAATGATTTGAATCTCCCAGTCAAATCACTGTCCCCCAAATCGGCTGAATCTGAATCTGAAGAGAATACTAACCGCTTTGCGCAGGCCTAGTTTTCACCCTGCAAGTTTTGCTTGTCAGCAGATTGAGGTGCAGTTTCCTAGAAACCCTTACACCTATCTCTTTGAAACTTAGCAGACTTCATGCTCTCAGAAGGAGCTACCATCCCTGCTATTTTCATCCAAATCTTCCAAAAAATGACAAAGTTATAAGCAGTTTTGTTCTTCCCCATTATAGTCTATGGGCGAAATGTCGAACCAGTGTCAAAACAGTTTCAACAAAACGGAACAGTGCTTCGAAACGAAATTCGAAATGAAACACTGTCCTGTCGAAACAGCAAAACAGGAGTCGAAATGAAACAGTGCTGTTTCGCGCAGCCCTAGTACGCAGCCCCCAGGACCCATTCCCAGTGGGTGGATACAGCATGAGCCGCCTGGGCCTGATCCCAGCAGGTGGAGTCAGCACAAGGCCCTGGGGCCCAGTCCTGGTACACAGGGTTCAATCTGGCCCATGGACCAGCCCTTCACCCCTCATTTGTCCCACAGAGCCAGTAGGGCATGAGAATCCTTCATAGCAGGATTTAAAGAAACAGTTCGACCAGGTAGAATAAGTACAGGGATGTGCTATACAGATAAATTTTAGTAGCAGCACACTGGCTCAATTAGGTTGTCTGTGTATTTCAGGACTTCTTTTGCCATGGTATCTGCACACTTCACAATGTGTAATGGACTTATTTACACAAATAGGGCTATGCCCACTTAACAGGTGGGGAACTGAGGCAAAGAGGAAATAAGCAACTTGCCCAGGGTTACACAAGACATCTGTGATGGAGAATGGACTTGAACCCATGTCTCCCAGGTCCTAGAATTGGTTGGACATTTTCGGAGAGCAGGATTTTGCCTGTTCATGGAATCTGAAATGCTCAATGAGCTTTCATCAAATCACAGGCAGATTTCCAGTGGAGGCCTCCTGGTTTGCTATTGGAACGCTGCAGAGCACAGGCATTCTTGGTAGTGTATTTGGGGCAGCCCTGTTAGTCAGGCAAGGGTCCATACTTCACTTGAGCAAGATTGCTTCCCATGTCACCCAATTTCCAAATGAGGGTGTGGGAGCCAGCTGGGCCTTGGGAGTCTAGAGACCATGCAATCCTCAGCCCCGAAGCAATTTTTATGCTGGGGAAACTCTATAAGCCCAAGCAGCTGCCGGCAGAAATTCATATGCCCATCAGTTTTGTTGCAGCTTTCTCTTGTCCTGGCCCTCAGACACTTGTTGTTTTGTAAACACCCTATAGTGGTGATTTCTGTAATTAAATATTTTTTCTGTCATTTCCTTTTTGCAGGAAATTTTGAGAAACTTGGATTTGTTCTAAATTGGAGTGAAATCAAATTTTGAAATAAGATTTCTCAGGAACAGCAGAGCAAAACCCAGATTTCTTTCAGCATTATTAAATCCCTGGCCACTGGCCCATCCTCCCTATTCCTGGTCACCTTGAACAAGTCACTTGACCTCTGTTCCAGCTTGCCTCTCTAAAAAATGGAATAATACTATTTCCATCATTTGGCTGTTGTGGGGCCTCATTATCTGTTGTTCATGCACTGCTTTGAAACCACATGAAGCAGTATGTAAGCGGTATAAACTTGAGATCTCTACTAAATGTGAACAGCTTACCAAACTACTTTTTAATATTTCAGGATTGTATATGCGGGTGTTGCAAAAATTACAACATTTCTCTTTTTTCCCATGCTGCAGGAAGTTCACAAGGAACGAATAGCATTAGAAACTCAGCTGGAGCAGCTTCGTCCTGTAACTGTTTTATGACCAGCACTTTATTCAGCACCTTCAGCACTTTGACTATATCACCTTTATTCAGTGGTGATAACTGAGTCTACATGCCAAGAATCTTCTGACTTTATTATTTATGTAAAGTTTTCAGTTAGGCAATGGCTGAGGGCAAAATAAAACATTGGGTTTCTTTTGCCTACCACTATGCACGTTTTTCTTCACAAATGAAGGCGGTACATGAAATGAATGTCATACAGTAGGGAATGTCTAAAAAGTGGAAGTTTTTTCCCCACTGGTCCTTTTTCCCCCATGGATTCCTTCCAGATGTTACAGAATGCACATTACCACCAAATTGTCTAAACTCTGAAATGATCAGTATTGTATTTATTTAAAGAATTCCTGATTTATTTGCATTCCTGGGGAAAAAATGATTCATGGTTACATGCTTTCAGAACTCTTGTTTATATTCAAAGTTCATTTTCTGAAATGGTTTCTTGGATGTTTCTGATTCAAAGAGGTTTATACCCTGGCAGATTGTCTGTGCTGGTAAAACACAAGAGAGAATGAAAAAGATTATACATATGGAGTCCATAACCACGATCACATCAGATAATTATCTTTTGTAGTGCCATTTAAGATTCATTTTTTCATGTTTATTAATGTTATAGCATTTGTATTTTATAAGATAAAAAGCATGTAAAGGGCACTTTCAAGAAGTAAAAACTGTTGAGACTTGCTGATTTTGGAAATGTAAAAAACCCTTCATTTCTGAGCTCTAGACAGCAGGAAAGGTTCAAAATGAGCAGGGGTGTGTTGGTGTGGGGTGTATGTGTTGGGAGAGGAGGGGAAGTTTCTAAATCAACATTGTAACTTTATCAATGGAAGTTAAAACAAACTATATATTAGAGATTTTCTTATGTTTGTTTGCATTGGCCTATGTTGCATTTTGTTAAGAACCCAAACTAGACGTGTTTCCAGGGTAAATAAAATTATCTATATGCTGTAAGTAAGTTTTTTAATGATTTTAAACAAATAAATGAATCTTACAAGGGGCTATAGGAGATGCTCCTGCAGTGATCAAAGCTTCTTAGCCCATTTCCATCCCCAGATAGAGAGCTAAAGGTTCCAGTGCTTTGGTCCTGGATTGGACTCTGATATTTGAAGTCTATGGAAGTCTTTCCATATACTTCAGTTTTTATTGGACTAAATTCTCTGTAAGCCTTTCTGGCAACAGGAGCTTTCTAACTATTCTTTATTTCTTGGACCAGTTCTCTTATTACATATAATTTTTGAAGTTAGAAAATCATCCTGACTCGTTTCATAGGCTTGATGTATGCTTTCTTACAAGAGACTATTGCATGAATGTTTCTCTCTCCTTCCCCACTCAATCTTGTATTTAGTGCATTTCACATCCTTCTGTTCAATGACATAAATGAAGTATAGTATATGCATTGAGTTTGGGAAAGCTGTGCATTGATTTTCTTTCATTATTTGTGATACTTTATCCATCTAGCTATGGGTTGGCCCCAGGGGGGGCAGGTTAGAAATAACTAGCCAGTCTTCTGTCAGGATATAGTGTGAAATGGATAAATGTGAAAAAGCTGCAGTGGGATATGAGAACAACCAAAAGCTTTATCAAGATGTAAAATAAGAATGACATCAATGTAAATGTTTAAAGTTGGCATGGTGACTAAATGGAGCGCTTTGGCTGAAATTTATATAGATCAAGAGTAGATAAAACTTTATTCCAAAGGTAGGGAGGGGCAAGCATTTGAAGAATAAGGTTAACTGAGAAAGCGTGTGTTTTTGTAATACATCACTCCCCAGCTCACTGACTTTTGTTTGCATCTACAACAAATAACCACCTTTTGTGATTTTTGTGTTGCTTTGTGTTAATGCTTCACAGTTTGAGTTAGGAAGTTGTTCTGGGCAGTGAGAAAAGGAAGTAAAATCACAAATTAATCTTAATCTCCATTAATCGTCTATGAGAATCCTGGAAAAAAATTCAAAATTGTCTACATTTCATTCAGTAAGACTTGCACTCCTAAGTAGAGCTGCTTGGAAGCTTTTTGATAAAACTTTTTTGTTTTTCCTGTCAGAAAATGCTGATTTCTTGAGATGGAAACTTTTTCTGGGAAGATCTATTTTGATTAAACTTATCTTGGGAAGATTGCTCAAGTCCAGGAGGGAATTTTGGCTAAAATGGGAGACACTAACTCCAGGATAGCCAATAGTCCCATGTCAATGAGTTAGGATGGGGAAAAGCCAATTTCAAATCCCTGTTCTGATCTGGAGCAGCTGCTAGAATCCGGTTGTCCCAGATGAGTGCCCTAACTGCCAGACTACAGAGCTGTTCTCTCTCAAATGCTGTCTTTCTCTAATCGAATAATATTTAAACGAAGTGAAAAACATGCACTGGAAGAAGTTGAGAGAGACTGATTCAGAACAGAGATTTAAACCTGACTCTCCCATATCCCAGGCGCATAGTCTCATCACCAATCTGTAGTGTCCATCTCTAGATTTCACTTACTGGAGCAGATGTGTATAAATAGTCACTGGGCTAGAGAGAATCATGTGGAAGAGGCCATGGAACTTAACTCTCCCACATCTCGGAGAATGTCTTTACTACTGGATAAATGGCTGTTTGAGGGAAGAGAAAGAGAATTTGTTTTGTGCTCTGGTGCTCATTTAGACAAGATATTCCATCCTGAACCTCATAAAGCATAGTCAAAACCGATATGTTGCTGTGAAAAGTTTGGTTTTAACAAACAGCAATTTACTGAGCTGGCATCAAAACATTTGCAACTACTGGTAGCATTTATCCCTTTTGAAGATTAGGCCACTTTTTATTCCAGTGCCTAATGTAACAGCATAATAGCAGGTGGAGAAAACAGGTTTCCATTCAGGGGAAGGACATCCTAGGACAATCTGCCTATGACATTTGACCTTAAAGATTAATGTCCTCAGTTTATTAAATTAGTAGTACCATTAGGGCACAATGGAGACTGTTAATATCTCCTTTGAGAGGGATCCACTATTGCTGTTGTAACATAAAATTTCAGTCTTTAGCAAATTCAGCATGACCAACAGTAGCCCCTGAAATTTCAGTTTTAATTTGAAATGCTATATCCAAACATATTTGTACATGCTGTTTTTAATGCTGTGAACTCTCCTACCACTTCAGTGAGAGGAACTGGTACACCCATCTTCTCAACATTAAAAGCATGCTACCTAAACATTACTGGAAGATAATGGCTTGCATTACAAAACTCCCCCTGTGTGGTGTGTAGGATTTGGAACTCTGCACAAGAAGCTTTAAAATGGATGTAATATGGAAATAAGCCTTTCCTATTGTAGAAACTGAGTTTAACTCCTGATGCAGTACAATGTAGATACGCCGCAGCTTAGCTCAGAACAAGCAGGCTTATCTGGCTTAGGTACTGGACTCAGTCTAGTCTTAGTAGCTAATCTACCCTACTTCTGAGGTGAAGGGGGAGTGTCATCACTTCTCAAGCTTGGCCTGTTATTTAGCCTTTAGCATAGGCACATCTTAGGTTGCAAGAAGTATCTACTGTTATAAAAGTCCAGATGGGAAAGAGGGATAATGGATCCACATGTTTTATCAACTAAAGTGAGAACTTATTTTTTCAGGACATGAATACTCCAAATGATATAATGAATTTGAGAAGAAATTATATATTTTGATGTTGTTCTTTGTTTAATTATCTTCACAATAATATACTATAAAATATATAATGCATCTTATTCTGCTATTTACCATTTGATATACAATATGGTGTTGGGACCTTGTTAATCTAAAATTTAAAAAAGTACTGAGGTTACTCTATATTTGTATTTTAACTTATTACAGTGTAGTATTTCTCCATATTCAAGCAGACTTATTTTCACAGCTGCAAAAAATGTGAGTGTGGTAGACTGCAAGATAGAATATTCTCTACTATGCACATCCAATTTTGGAAAATGTACATGATGTAAAATGGGGTGCTATGTTAAAATAAAAATTTACATAACTTCAAATAGTCTGTCTTCTTGCATGTTCAGGATTTTGCACATACAGATGACATGAAAAGAAGCTAAAAATTATGAATTAATTTGAAAAGGGTTGAAATAGGTGACCTTTGAACATAAATCATAAAAACACTTTTATGCCAAGGCAGTGTGTGCGTGTCTGTGTGTGTGAGAGAGAGACAGAGAAGGTCAGAGACATTAAAAGGTTTAGAGTGAAACTGTGACCCTGTTTACTTCAGGTAGGAATTCCCTTCCTCTGCAAAACTTCCCCTTACCATATTTAAGAGGATCAAATAGAGGCAGTTTTAATCCTCTATGAACAGAATATAGGATGAGGAACAGTATGCAGTGGTTTGAGAGTGCACAACTAGGAGTAATGGAAATGGTAAACTATATTAACGATAGTGTCTTGTCTCGTTCAGACTTAAATCAAGTTCCTTTGGGCTGGAAGGAATTGTTCAATGTCCCAGTATTTGAGACAGGTGTCATCAAAGTCAGCAAAATACTCCATAATAGTTTCACGTCAGCCCTTGATTGACAAGGAGCTACAGGAAATGATAGGGGGTTTTTCCAACTCTTAACTACAGTGATTTCTAAGAATTATTCACCGCTATTCAAAGATTAGCATTTTAAGAGAGGAAATAATTAGTGATGTGTTATAAATTAATTATAATAGCATTAAGCTATGGCAGGGGATCTTTTATTGGCTCAAAAATATGCGTCCAATGAATGCGAGGCACAAGGCCAATGCATTAAGAACTTGTAAATATACTATAGGGAGCTATTCTTCATTGGCAACAGGATGGATTGAGATGAGTTCCATCCTTAATTTTTATGATGATATGATACTTGAAGGTATCCTCAGGCAGTTCTGGTTTGGCTCCCTGCATTTAAATTGATATGTTTCACAATAACTTAAAAAAATCTATTTAACAGTTTTAAAAATAGTGCCTTGTGAAGGAAAACGAAAGTAATACAAGTTTAAAAAAACATATTTTACCAATTTATTGCAATGAAGAAAATTCTGTTTGCATGTTCCCCTCCCTCTTGATGATGGGTTTCTTGCTGGTTAATCTCTACCCATTTTCTCTCTATTTTTCCCTCTTGCAGGTCAATAGTATTTTTCCTCAGAGAGATTTGAGCTCCAAGTAGTTCCTTAATCTCCAAAGAGAATGGAAGAAGCCAAAAAAGAGCAAAATTCATTTCTGGTCAGACTACAGTAAGTGTGTAACCTATATGTAGTCACTGATTGCATTATTAAATAAGATCCAGAGTGTAGCCATGTATAAGAATTAAGCCAGAAACCACATAGGCTAATTCTGTATTTGCTGTCGTGGCCATACAACAGTATGTATTGTGAAGGTTCAGCACTTAAAAGTTGGCATCGCGCAGAACAAAATAAGCCAGGGTTCTTCCACCCCCTATTTTGCATCACTGTTCCCTTAAGAGAAAATGTGATGTACAGCTGAGTGGCTTTTGTACTATCACAATTCCTGTTTTGACTCTGGCCCAGACTTGCACATAAGGCATATGCACTCAGGCAAATTAATTTTGGAGTGGATGAACAAAATGTAGGATCAGATGGCAACTGGCATGCTGACTCTCCACTCATCCAGTGGCTTTTGCTGCCCAGTATGTACATCTGGAAGCTGTTGAATTTACAATGTCCAGCTGTATCTTCTTACCAGTTCTTTGTAATACAGGCCAAATCCTGGACCATATCCAAGTTAAACTGGGGATTGGCTAAATGTATCAGTTCCATTAAATCTATCTTTCATTAAATAGCATGACCTTCAGAGTCTAAGAAATATCTTGTGCTCCAGAGAGATGGCACTCCTGATCAGACCATTAGCACTGGTTTAAATGCCACAGACTGCATCTGGTCTGTTCTTTTAGCCTGTACATCTTTGGCGGGAAATGCCTCCTATCCAATTTCTCCATATCCACACCAGTGATAAAAAGATTTAGGCTTACAAAAAGTTCCCTTCCCACTAAATTTTAATGCAATAAATACAGAGTGAAATTCATGCCCAGACATTGGCTCCCAGCTGTCACCTTATCAACATTAAAAAATCTATAGTTAAATGGTGATTGGTTGTTTAGTCACTTGGAAGTGGACATTAGGTTTTAATATTCAGGGTTCATAGGAAAGAGGTAATTTCTCCTCTTTGTCCACATAGATAGGGCTTGAAAAGAAATGAGAGATGAAATATTGGGAAGTTGCAGTAGTCACATTTCTTAGGCAGCTGGAAAACTATTCCATCTTCGCCATCTTGCTCCATCCTCCCCTGCAGCAAAGTGTGTTTTAAAAAAGCCTTGCAGGGCACAACTGTATAAGAATGGTTAGGTGCGGAGCTGCCACTTGAAACCCAAATCATTTTTTTTCCAAGGTCATTTCAGCAATCAGGCAGTTCATTCCATTCGTCATAGATTTAGGATATGTTAAGTCATCACTACCTGTATTCAACAGGCTGGTACAAAGCTTGCATTGTCTACTAGAAATTCCACGTTCTTATCCCAGAGATAAAAATTAGCACGTGACTTCACCTGTGTCTTATTTCACAGTCCTTTGCATTTTCTAAAGGGCACTAAACCTCAGATTTGAAATAATGGCTTCCAGTTTTATTAACAGGTTGTGTGAGAGGAGCTCTTTTCACACAAAATAATCAGGTTGAGTCTCCGACACTTAATTGTAAATGTGTTTAGTGCTTGTGAAAGCCCAATGTAAGACACTGTACCCCACATACTGAAAAACAGGGCTGACAGATTGGCAACCAAAACTCAGAGTAATCAAAATCACTAGTCACTCTTGAAAATGTAAGTCACAATTTTTTGTGATATGTGTAGCAAAAATGTCTCATAGGTCCCAGGCCAAAGCTTTAAATCTAAGCATCCAGAGCTAAAGCTCTGGGAAAGATCTGCAGCTAAATGTTATGGCTCTGGCTCATCCCTGTTAGGTACCTTATTAATTTCCCAGCGGAACGCTGATATTTAAACATGCTATAAAAGGTTCTTGTCTTAATTTTGGCTCGGATCCTGGAATTGATAATGCACTGGCAGATTCCTGGGCCCGTGTGGAGCCTCAGTGAGGTTATTTGCATCAATCAATCTACACAATATCAATTGCCAGGTCAAGGCCTTCCATTGTAAGGAACAGGAAGTAAGTATCCTGTTATTCTCTGAGTAGTACTCAGTACAACACGGTCTTGATCCTGAATAGGATCTCTGTTGTTGTAGGATCTATTAAGATCTTGAAACCGGGTTTGGGCTCTGGGGTGACTATGACACCTCCTGGTGGAATCACCAAACCACTGGTTAAAACTGTAACCAAGGAGTAAGCCTTCTGGCTGCAACACAAACTAATTTCCTCTTGGTCCAAATGTAAATAGTGACTACCTGCCTCCACAACCAGACTTCCCCTTACCCCAGGGAAGGTTCCCAATGCCAGCTAGGAGTGCTGCATTCCCCCTGCTCTGGAGCTCTTGCCCCTGCCCCTACTGGCTCAGGAGTTGTGTTTGTCTCCCTGGCACTGTCCCCTTCCAGTCAGGTGCTGCCCTGAGCTGTCACAGGTGGTTTCTCATTCAGTTTGCTGGCTCAACCCCAGGATGACTTCTTGCTGCTGGTCTCTTTGTGCTCCTGTCTCATCTCCCATGCAGGGCTCTAGCCCATGCTATGATGGCGGCACAGCTCGTTCTGCATTAAGTGCTTATATCAGGTAAATCCCTAAGTACCTGTTCCCTGGTAGCTCATAATGAACAGCGTTCCATGCCTGAGGCTCTCTGCTGCTCCTTCACCCTTAAAGTATCAGAAGCCTTTGGCTCTCTGTTACAGATCTACATTGCTGTAATATTAAATAATAAATGCTTAGAGAAATGAAGGACTTGTCATGTGGAAATTTAAATTACTCATCTCAATTTGGATGGTGAAAATTATGTAAAGACCCATAGATGCTTACTTGTCACTCTTCCTGGTGATCCAGAGCCTGGGAGAATCAGGCTGCAGCAGCTTTACCATATTAGCTGCTCATTTGGGTTCAAGATACTGTTTTTCTAGGATCTACTTGGAGGATTCTGCTGAAGTATCCACATTGACTGGGTTCAAACTATCTAGGTTGTACATCAGGAATTGTCTGGACTTTTGTCCTTGACCTTAGTATAATTGAAATATTTGTAAAAGCACCTAAAGCAGTGATTCTGACTCAGGGTGCCATGAGATCCTTTTAAGTGTGTCACAGGGCACCCTCAAAATTTTCAAAATGACAGCTCTTAGTTTTCTCTTGTTTTTGATTATGAAAAAATACTAGAGCAATTCTTCTAGTGCAAAGACCTAGGAAACCCTATAGCAGATCAGAATGTTTTTTGGTACTATGGATCCCTATTTGAAATCTCATGGTTTATCTTGTGATTCATGTGTAGGCATTTGTATACCTACTAGTAGTACTATTGTATACTACCCTGTGGCACCCTTAAAAGGATCTCATGGCACCCTGAGTCAGAATCACTGCTTTAGGTGCTTTTACAAATAATTCAGTTATATTAAGGTCAAGGACAAAAGTCCAGACAATTCCTGATGTACAACCTAGATAGTTTGAACCCAGTCAATGTGGATACTTCAGCAGAATCCTCCAAGTAGATCCTAGAAAAATGGTATCTTGAACCCAAATGAGCAGCTAATATGGTAAAGCTGCTGCAGCCTGATTCTCCCAGGCTCTGGATCACCAGCAAGGGTTGCCCTGATTTTTAAAAAAATTGAGAACCACTGACAACTTGAATGTAATACAGAGTTTGGAAATGAGCAAACAATAAATAAGAATAATGATAAGATTTGGAAGATACGAATTGTTACAACTGATTGATCCATCCACTCCAGTCTGTTGTCTCTGTTCAGTACCTGAGTCATCAGAGGAAGGTATAAGATCCTTGTTGTTGACAACAATGGGATTACCTGCCTAAATGAAAGTTTCCTCTCGTCCTTCATCAATTATTGGTTGGCTTTTT